GCCCACCATCCCTCCCCCTGATCCACCTCCGTTCCGTCTCCCTCCAGGATTTCTTTGGATGGAGCGTCTGGAATCCGCTCCTTAAGGGGGGGGGGGTTCTGTCACAGTCTTTAGTGGGGGTGCCCAGGATGGCCACCAGATGACACTGTTCTCTGTGAGCACATGGCTTGTGTTGTTTGTTTTGTGCCATGTGCTCTCTCCAGTCTATTGTGTTGCCCCACCCATCTTGTTACCTCGTTATTGTTTTAGTTGCTCCACCTGTGTCTCCCTCATTAGCCTCCTCGTTTGGTTTCCCATTTATTCTCCTGGTGTCTGTAATCCTGTGCTGATCCGTTGTTTTTTCATTGTGTGTGTTATGTCTGCATGTAGTGCAGTTTCGAGCCTGCCTGTCTGTTTTTCTCCTTCGGGGTGGTTTGAGTTTGTTTTTGTTTCATTTTATTATTAAAGTAGGAACCATTCTTCCTGCACTTGAGTCCTCGCTTCCTCTATCCTCACGCACCGTGACAGTTATAAATAAGCCAATGTATTTCCTGATGTACTGTGTGAAAAATGTGTGCGGAGAATGACATGCAATTGATTGCCTGTGGATTATAAAGCTATACACTTTAGCTATACACTATAGCAAGGCAAGTTAGTAAGATGATAGAAATAATTTCCTCATAGAGTTCATCCTGTCAACAAGAAGTATATTGAGAGAAGACAAAAAAAAAAAAGACAAAACGTAACTGGTTTAACCTGATGAATCAGAGTGCAGATGTACTTTACAGAGCATGCCAGAGCTGCGACACATTTCAAGGTGAGTGCATTGCCATTTTGTCTTAACATTTGCTTTGAATTATGTACAGTAAATATTGTACATGTAAGTTAATGTTTTACAAAGGCATTTTATAGATGATAACATTAAAATGTGGGAGAACCCTAGGAACTTGTGTTTTATTAACTAACTACAGGGTTATAGGTTTGTTAGAGTTGTTTTATCTGTTACTCTGCATGAGAAATAAATCACATGACATTTCATAACAAGTAAAAATCAAATGAGAAGTAACATTGTGTTTGTGCGTATATCCGTACAAGTTTTTTCAATTTTTTTTGCTTTAAACAGAAAGTAAACAGTTTTGTATTGTCTAAACTACAGAACTATGATTGGAATGCCTGGAAAACTTTCAACACTTTGCAGATAAAGATAAAAGAATGACTGTAGTTTCTGGCAAAACCACGGCAGATTAAAAGAGAGAAAGAAAGAAAGAAAGAATTGGTTAATGCCTTTTGTTGTGTGTGTTTGTGCGTACATCCGTACAAGTTTTTTCAATTTTTTTTGCTTTAAACAGAAAGTAAACAGTTTTGTATTGTCTAAACTACAGAACTATGATTGGAATGCCTGGAAAACTTTCAACACTTTGCAGATAAAGATAAAAGAATGACTGTAGTTTCTGGCAAAACCACGGCAGATTAAAAGAGAGAAAGAAATAAAGAATTGGTTAATGCCTTTTGTTGTGTAACTAGTGTTTCTTGTAATTTTCTGGCTTCTTTTCAAAACCGTCTGAGAGGAATTCGAGACAAGATGGAATTTGTACATCTCTATCATTTTATACTGTAGGCTTTTATATAGCAAAAACAGCTGTAAATAAGGGTGCTTTGCCTTACGAAGAAGATGTTTATTCGAGTGTGCTATTAGTATACTTCTTTTAAACTAAAAATAGGAAAGTATACTTTAAGTCTAATTTGATGTACTTCTCAGACATTGGCTTTATGTACTTCTCAGAAATATACTTAAAATTACATTTAAGTATACTTGACTTATACTAAATAAATAAATATATTTGAGCTATACTTGTGCTCTGAGAATCCGTGTTTTCATTGTTATACTGTAAGAAACCGAAACAACACATGCTTCCACATGTATTCTAACATGATCATCAGACATAAAACAGCATCAAAACTGTGCAACGTTTGTCACAGTGTTTGTTGTGGTGACCTGGACTGGTCACTTGAGGGCGCTCTTCTGTTTTCGTTGTTTGTGTTAAACTCCATTTCCCATAGTCCCCTGCTCACTAATCCTGGTTTAATCGGTAACACCTGTTCATCATTAACCCAGCTATATATATCATGCCTTCTCTGTCTGTCATTTGCGTCTGGATTGTATTGTCTTCTTAGTTGGTGTTGTCGGTGTCAGGTTTTGGATTACCTTTTGCAACGTTTTGTTCTGTTTTGTCCTGTTATTATTTTCAATAAACTGCACATGGAACTTACCTTGTTTCCTCCTGGCATTCCGTGACAACGTTATGGAATAAAATGTCGAGCAATGAAGAGGTAATAATGACTGTCAAGCTTTGGGGTGTTGATCGACTCATCTACGTTTTGATTATCATTCTGAATCCAATTCATAGTCATTTTTCAGCTTTTTGTTCAAAATCTTATTTCTTTATTCTTTTAATTTTTTATTTATTAAACGTACCCACATTCAAGTGTTTAAAAAAAGAATGCATGAAGCTAGAATAACATTTTTTGTTTACAAGCAGATACCCTGTTCTTTCTTTTGATGTTTTGTATGTTCAGATATTCATATAACAAAATATATACAAATTAATACCTAAATAGGGACGTAGTAGTATACTTAAAGTATGATGTAAAGTTCACTTAAGGAAAACTTACGAGTATACTTGCAGTATAAAACTACTAAACTAGTAGTTTACTGAGACTATACTTCAAAGTGTACTAAAATGCTGCAAGTATTTAATTAGTAAACTATCAGTATACCTATAAGTTCACTTCTAGTATAGTTGCAGTACAAACTAAAAACATAGACTTAAAAGTATATGTTCATATACTAGAAAGTGGGCCAATTTAGTCCCAAGGAGTATTGAAATAGTACGCTACTAGTACACTGATATTTGTATACTTACTACATAAAGTATACTTAAAAATATACTTGAACTTTACTTAAGTATTCTTAATAAAATAAACTTGAAGTATACAAATTTTTGGTAAGGGTTCACACCTGGCTTGTTGTTTCGGAACCTGGCGCATTTCCCCTTTAGCTCGGTTCGTTTGGGCATATGTGAACACGGCAATCGTGCTCGGATCCGCGCCAAAACAATCAGTCTGAGATCGCCTGAACGAGGTTGTCTCGACTCGATTGAAAACTCTGAAGTTACTTTGAACTCTGGAGCGGTTCGGTTGTAGTGAGAAAGCAATCCGATCTAATGGACCAGTGAACCAGGCTATATCACAATGTATAATGGGTAATTACGTAAGTTCCGTGAAAAGCATTAGCTTTGTTGTTTTGCTAATACTTCAAAATAAACCATGTGAATGTCTGTGGGTGATCACGTCTTCGCCATTCAAAATCAAAGCGCACTTTTTCATTTTATAATGCCCTCTTATTGCTCTTCTTCCTAGTATGTGCATTTTAAAAATGTTTTCCCGATGAATCCTCGACTCCTGCTCAAAGTGACAAGTTAATATAACAACATCTACAAAAAAAACAATAAGCTTTTCATCTGTTTCATCTGAAGCTGTTGTCGTTCCATCCTGACAGATGACAGCCGTGACAGCTAAGTGGAATCCCGGAAAATAAACCGTGAAACTTTAACCAATGAGAGAACAGTTTACTCACACGTGACTTGTATTAACAAATTTGGTCCATTTAGAAACTTTGCCGTGTGAAAGTGAACCGCACCAAGAATAAAAAGCAACATTGTAATAATTTTAATCCCTGTTTCGGAACAAAGCAATCAATCTACAGGTGTGAAAGCAATCTAAATCAACTACAATGAATGTTTTTGAATTTTTTCCTACGTGCCACCGAATGGCTATCACAGTGTAGCCTTGACTTTTTTAAGATTATATTTTTGGCTTTTATAGCGGACAGTGGAGAGATGACGGGAAATGATTGGGGAGAAGATTGGGCATGGGATCAGGAAAGAACCTCATAAGGTAAGATACAAACTCTGGTCACCTGCTAAACATCAGCACAAGATGTCATGAGCGCAAAGCCCACTAGGCTATGGCTCTGGCATGTAGCCCAAGCTTAAAATGTTAAGATGGAAAACACAGGGTGCCATTATTAGGAAATGATCAGAACTCAATTTCCTTTATCTTTTTTTTTTCCTTAGATGTAATCTTGAAAATAATTATTACAATACTGATCATAATCAGTGCAGTAACATACACAGTCAGGACTGCATCCAAAATGAATCTCTATGAGAAGAAAGAAGAGGGAGGTGCTCTTAGCTGTGTCTGTATGAAGAGCAACTGTTCAATTAAACAACCTGTTGGATTTCACGATAAATCACAATTCAGAAATCCAAGGTAGGTTATTGGGGAGTTGTTTTTGTTATGGCTTTTTGTATGCATACTGTATAACAATTGACTACTCTTTTTCCTGGGGTTCTGCAGTGAGGTAAGGGAAGATCTAATTTATTACCAGTCCAGATGTGGAGTTTGTGAGCAGGTTCTGATAGATGCAGTCTCTGGCGATGGTTTAAGAAGACACTGTATCAGCTGCAACTCGGACCAGACCAGACCGTGTCCTGTCATGGAACCAGCCTTGATTGAAGAAACTGGAGATTTGCAGCAGCATTCTCAACAACCAGGTGATGATGTTTTTCAGAAAGTCAAAGATCAATACAAAACCATAATGAAAAACAAGTATGAGAGCTTATCTGAGGGAATCAAACTACAAGATGATCAAACCCTACTGAACAGTATTTATACACAACTCTACATCTTAGAGGGAGAGAGTGAAAGAGTGAATGAAGAACATGAGGTTTTACAAATGGAGAATAAATCCAGAACTCAACACTCACAAGACACTCCAATCTACTGCAATGACATCTTTAAAGCCTCAGCTGAAGCAGGATGTGAGGAGAAAGAGCAGATCAAGACTGTTCTTACTAAAGGCATCGCTGGAATCGGAAAAACCGTCTCTGTGCAGAAGTTCATTCTGGAGTGGACCGAGGGAAAAGCCAATCAGGAGGAGCTCCTGGAAGAAGATATGAGTGCAGAAATCCCTCAAACTCTGACTGAAATGTACATCCACTTCCTGCTGATTCAGATCAACATGAGGAACCAGAAGTATGAAGAGAGATATCCAGAGAAACTCCTGCAGTCCAACATAGAAGTGATTGTGAAACTTGCTGAAGTGGCTTTCAAACAGCTGATGAAGGGCAATGTGATGTTCTACGAGGAGGACCTGATTGAGAGCGGCATAGACCTCACTGATGCCTCAGTGTATTCTGGGATTTGCACTGAGATCTTTAAGGAGGAATCTGTGATTCATCAGAGGAAAGTCTACAGCTTCATTCATCTCAGCTTTCAAGAGTTTCTTGCTGCTTTTTATGCAGTTTACTGCTATTTATGTAGAACTACTGAATCACTTTTTGATTCACTACATAATTTTCATACACGTGTATTCAGTAAAGTACAAGAAAGTGAAAATGGACAGCTTGATCTGTTCCTGCGATTTCTGCTGGGCATCTCACTGGAGTCCAATCAGAGACTCTTACAGGATCTACTGACACACACAGAGAACAGCTCAGAGAGCATCGAGAAAACATCACTGTATATTAAAAACACAATTAAGAAGAACAAACATCTGTCCACTGAAAGATCCATCAATCTGTTCCTCTGTCTGCTGGAAGTGAAAGATCAGACTCTGTCCAGAGAGATTCAGGAATTTGTGAAATCAGACAAACACTCAGAGAAGAAACTCTCTCCTGCTCACTGCTCAACAATTGCCTACATGCTTCAGATGTCAGAGAAGCCGCTGGATGAGCTGGACCTCAAGAAATACAACACATCAGATGAGGCTAGAAGAAGACTGATACCAGCTGTGATCAGCTTGATCTGTTCCTGCGATTTCTGCTGGGCATCTCACTGGAGTCCAATCAGAGACTCTTACAGGATCTACTGACACACACAGAGAACAGCTCAGAGAGCATCGAGAAAACATCACTGTATATTAAAAACACAATTAAGAAGAACAAACATCTGTCCACTGAAAGATCCATCAATCTGTTCCTCTGTCTGCTGGAAGTGAAAGATCAGACTCTGTCCAGAGAGATTCAGGAATTTGTGAAATCAGACAAACACTCAGAGAAGAAACTCTCTCCCGCTCACTGCTCAACAATCTCCTACATGCTTCAGATGTCGGAGGAGCCGCTGGATGAGCTGGACCTCAAGAAATACAACACATCAGATGAGGCTAGAAGAAGACTGATACCAGCTGTGATGAACTGCAGAAAAGCTTTGTGAGTTAAGTTCATATATTAAAATAAATATAGAGTACAAAAAAAAAAATATATATATATATATATATATATATATAGCTGCAGCAATGCTAAACACAATGCAGCGAAGGCACAGTGCTAAGACTTGCAGGGTTTGAACACCTACATTTTGGTGTCGTGTTCCAGGGCCAAGTTTCCAAAGACCCCTTAAGTTAATAAAATATTTTGTTATAATTTTAACTTATCAGCACTACCGGTTTTCTTATTTTGAGGGGTCTCTTGAAAACTTATAGAGCCTTATGCAATGTGCCACACAACTGACAAATCTGTAAGATCCCAACAAGACATTCCATGCTGGAAGTACAATATGATTCAATACCAAAAGGTGTGAACAGATTGACAGCATTTTAAAATCAGGTCTTGTGGGAATTGAGTGCGCTAATGGTTGTCACACTCCACTGAGCATATCACGGCCTGGTTGACCCAAGTTTCTGTCCGGCTCACCACAAAAACTTCCCAGCACTCCCTATGGCCAGTTTGCCCCTGGCTCCACCTACTTTAAAGTTGATATCTGATTGAGTTCAAGTCTTTTAGCCATCTAATATAAATCAACATGCACACCAGCATTAGCTGGCAAATTACTTTATCTGTATGACAGCTCATGTGGAGACCACATGTCATGTGATGTCTTTTTTTTTTGTTAAAGTCTACAAAAGGCATCAAATCTACTTAAATACTTAAAGGGGTCATATGATGCGATTTAAATTTCTCCTTTCTCTTTGGAGTGTTACAAGCTCTTGGTGCACAAAGAAGATCTGTAAAGTTGCAAAGACTAAAGTCTCAAATCCAAAGAGATATTCTTTGTAAAAGTTAAGAGTCAGCCACACCTACCTAAAACGGCTCGTTCTAACACGCCCCCACATATCTACATCACTATGTGGGAAGATTTTCATAACGCAGCCCAAATGTTACATGCATCTCAAAAGTTATTGATTTTATTAAGTCATATTTTGTATTGATGATTGTACTAGAGCAGTGGTACCCAACCCTGTTTTTAAGTCTTTTTAATTCAACACACCTAATTTGACTTAACAGCTTATTAGCAGAACTCTCTAAAACCGGAAGTGGCTCTGCCAGATTAGAAAGACATTAAACACATGTACTGTTAATGTGCCACCAAGCTCAGGTTCATAAACTGTGGTTCCCAACCCTGGTCCTGGAGGCACCCCAACACTGCACGTTTTGCCTGTCTCATTTCTCTGACGCACCAATTTCAGGTCTTGAAGTCTCTACTAATGAGCTGATGACCAGTATCAGGTGTGTTTGATTAAGGAGACATGCAAGACGTGCAGTGTTGGGGTGCCTCTAGGACCAGGGTTGGGAACCACTGCTGTAGAGCAGGGGTGGCGAACATCGGTCCTGGAGAGCCGCAGCCCTGCAGGGTTTTGCTTCAACCCTAATCAAACATACCTGAACAAGCTAATCAAGGTCTGAACTAGGGATGGGCATGATTAATCGACGATCGATAATTGATCGTTAAGAATTTCATCGATCACGTTAATTTGTTATCGATTAATCTAATGCATTTTTTTTAATCTAATGCAGGTTGCGTAGTGTGAGTCTTGACGCAATTAAATGAATTTCCCTGTGTGGCAGCAATTAAGCATTTTACCACCAGGGTGCAATATTTGACACCATACTCGGTTATCTGTGATTTTCCGTTTTGATTTCAAAAGAATAATCATGAAGAGGTCATGGCGAAGTGTGGCGTGGGACCATTTTGATTTAAAAAGCGAAATAGTTCACTGCAAACATTGCGATGCCGTGTATAAGTACAACACGGCCACGACTCAAATAATGTACCACTTAAACAAAGTGCATCCGTCCCTGGTTAATGTCGGTGGCGGTGCAATGCCCATCCCTAGTCTGAACGGTTACTAGGAAGCTACAGGCAGGTGAGTTTTAATTAGGGTTGGAGCTGAACTCTGCAGGGCTGCGGCTCTCCAGGACCGGAGTTCGCCACCCCTGTTGTAGAGGATTTGAATTGGAGACCCTAACGTTGGGTGGATTGATTGTGGGACTCTTAGCAATGAGTGCGCACCGCCACCGTGTCTGTGAAATGTATCTGCAGCTTTTGGCCGCTGAGTGGCACTTTAACCACAAACTTCAACAAGTTATCAGGGTGAACATGTCACAGCGCATTTTTGTGAGTAGCAGTCAGCTTTGCCTTGCTGATGAGTTACATTTAAAGGCTGCAGTCAGCAGAAAATCTAAGAAAAACACTAGTTAACGCTGCATGAAAAGAGGTGTATACAGACCAGTATACTCCTGTGTAGACCGCACAATTTCGGACAAATCTGGAAGTATTACTGTCCGGATATCAAGCGTAGCATTAGTTCTGGCAGGTCACGTTAGTCAAGCTCGCATCAGCTGACTCTCAGCTGATCCCCATCAACCTATGGGAATACGACACCTAAGCATTCATATATAAGGTCCCGCAGTAGGATCAGCAGTTTTTGCATTGCTCAATAGCTAATTAAATGGCGAATTCGGCAGGCAAAACCATCTCTGCATTATTGTCATGAACTCCACAAGTTATGTGACTGTCTCACTAACAAGTCAGATGGGAACTTCATCCCCAAGAAGGATATCAAGAGATCGAGCAGCCACTTCACAGCTGCTCTGTTTCACTCTCTCCAATGTCTTCACAAGCTAAGTTCCATTTAATGCTCTCAGGTTATCTGCAACATGCGTGTTTCTAAGGCTATCTGTGTTGCTTGGGCTCATTAAGTTGTTTTCAGTTAAATGCTTGTGCTAGTTCATGCATGTGCGGTACTGCATCTGTTGTCACTGGCAGCACGCTGTCGTTGCAATATGCTGCGCTTAACGGGGGTAATGTCATTTCATGCATTCTGAGTTATTTACACTGTTAATTAAGAGTTGGATTCTTATGTGCGTGCGCGCATTCAGCGACCCAAGCGAGAGCGAGAGCAAGAACGCGCTGCTTAACGCGTTTCTTTCATGGTTTCGGAAGTCTTCGGCAGCGCCGCAGTTACTGCTCGAGTTACTAGCCTGCCTCCAGCTGGAGAGAGTGGCGCTTGCAGTTGGGGGCGGAGTTGGGGCGGGGACGTGGGGTCGGACGCTTTCTGCTCCTGGTGGTGACGCTCTCGCGGTGTGTTTGCATACATTCGCGGATGAGGCGAGTTGAGTGCGGCGTTTGTCAGTGCGACTACCTAAAGGGGGGTAAAATACGCATTTTAGGGGTGAAATATCACATTATTGGGGTCACTTAAAAGTTATTTAATTGGTACATGAAAAACAACCCGTGGCAACGGAGTTAAAGTAGCCCAATTCCATAGGAAAACTGCGGACTTGGCAACACTATTACTGAGGTATTCTTCCATGCAACAGTCATTTGTTGCCATGGCAAGTAGATTTATTTTCAGGGGACATTCAAGTCAAGTCAAGTCAAGTCATATAACTGCAGTAAAAGATTATGACTGCAGTAAAAGATTATGAGATGCATTATTTGAATGCTTGGCCAAAGAGATGTGTCTTTAATCTAGATTTAAACAGAGAGAGTGTGTCTGAACCCCGAACGGTATCAGGAAGGCTATTCCAGAGTTTGGGAGCCAAATGCGAAAAAGCTCTACCTCCTTTAGTGGACTTTGCTATCCTAGGTACTACCAAAAGTCCAGAATTTTGCGACCTTAGGGAGCGTGATGGATTTTCACACTTTTGTGCCATTCTGCTCTCCCCTTTTGGTCATTCATGTTAAATTGGATTGGCTGCTTTGAGGCTAAACCCATCCCCTAACCAGACAGCACACAGACTTTCCTCAAAAGTCATTTAATTGGTAACCTTGTGAATTATGCCACCCAAAACCCTTAAGCAAAATACGGAGCACCTAAAGGGACATTTGCAAAAAAATTAGAACTATTTTAAACTTGGTCTTCAGTACAAAGACATTGTTTCTGTTCTTGCATTCTGACACAGATCTAGCATTACTGAGCAGCATAAGAACAGCTTTTTCCTTCAGGCTTTATTCCACCTGACCTGAACAACACATATAACATCTCATGACTGTACATCTGTACATACTGTAGCATCTCAACTTACCACTTGTAGTACAATTGAAACCATCTTTCACACACTTTTAAATATACTCATCATACATAGAAAATACACTTATCTAGTATTTAAAATATAAGATTTAATATATAATGAATATTTACAAAATGTACTTATAATGTATTGTCCACATATTTTTATAGATTAAATAATTCATTTCAAATGTATTTTGATTATGTTAACATTCCCTTTATATGATATACATTTTAATTATTTAAACTGTACAATCAAGTACTTATTGGAAATGTACTTATAACTACAACATTACTAATATATTTTAAATAAAATCAACTTAATTTAAACTTAGGATATCCATATAAAAGTGTGGTAATTTTTAAACCATTCAAAGAACACTTTTAAGAAATACACTAATAAAAGTCCTCTGCATATTTTTGCGGTAGTATACTTTATTTCAATGAACTAAAACTCTATTTAAATATCAGTGGAATTCAGGATATCTATATAATTCAATATAATTTTAAAGGGAAACACACTTGAATGAATAATTTGCAGAAAAAGCAATGTGAGTCTCTGCTCGCTCTGCCATCAGTAGACGCGTTTCCATTACAGATTTGCGCAAAACTTTGGCAATATTTTATAAATGTCGATAAAAAAGTATTGCGAAATGACGGCGTTTCCATGCGACTAAAACGTAACCTTTTGCTTCTCGCGATAAGTCACGGCAACGCATTTTAGTGGGATTTTTGACGGATTTTGGCTATATTTATTCAAAGGAGGCTTATGCGTGTATCTTCAGAAGCAGCACAGAGAGCCGCTTCAGAAACGTGCGTGGCGCGGCTGGAATAAACCATAGACTGTATAAAAACATAAACACAAGCTTTGACTAGAGTGGCCGCAATCAGTTTCAGTGGCCGTATCAGAGCCACACT